GAGCCCCAGTCCTTCATGTCCAAGAGGAAAACGCACATTTCATAGAGCTGTTGCATTAGACAAGGCCAGGCATGTTGGGTTTTTTTCAGCATCTGAACACAGAATTGCAAATTAAAAATCAAGTGTGTATGATTGCATAAGGTATGACAATAAAATAGAAAGGCTTAGCAGGAGATCTCTTCTGACAAGTGGTTACACAAACATGGTATCTGAAAAAACATCCCTTTCTCCCCATTATTTTACTTTTTAAGTAGTGAAAGAAAGAAAAGATTGCTTATTTGTTAGAGCAATCATCTCAAAAGGAAAGGTAATTCATCAATTTAATGAAATGAAGACATTTCTCATTTATATAACAGAGTGAATACTGAAACAAGAGTAAAATCCCAGCATGACTACTGCTTCATAGCAATTCTCTACCATCAAGCCACTGTTTCACTAGAGTGCATCAGTTTCCTCTGATTCTTAGTTATTAAGCAACATTCATTTCATTATGGTATCCAAGAGGTGGAGAGGCAGCTGAGGAAAAAAATTCTTTGTGAACATAAGCCAAACAATTAGTACATCCTTTACCTTCCTTATACTATGGACAACAAAACCTCCACTAGCTGGCCATACCTTAAAAAGTTCCCTGGCATCCAGAAATTACATAAATTACATGTTCCTGTGTCACAATCCTTCAACACGAGTTACATGTGCTTATACTTTCTATATTCTTCACCTGTTCCTCCACAGTCCTCCCCTTTTGTCTAGCCAAACTTGCTCAAACCAACAAGCATTTGCAACAAGGGGGTGTAGAAGTGGAGAAGCACTGAGAGAAAAAAAAAAAAGCCTGGAAGAGTGTACATGTTGACACCTGTACTGACATCCTTCATTTCTTATCCCATAAAGCTTATTTTTATTAGGAATACAGGTCTGCACAACAAAATAAAACCTTAGGCAAAACTATACAGAATAGGATGGAAGTAAAACAATGGTATCTTGTAAAATCGCTGAATTCCAGGATTCACAGGCCCAGTGACAGCAACTAAACTCAGGCTGGCATGGACTGTCACAGAGCTCATCTGTCTGAGTGAGGAATGCCCGTCACTACTGAGTTTAACTTTTTTTTTTTCTACAAAGAATACCACACCAAGACAATCATCTCATGTGCTCTGACAATGAAAGGTAACTAATGGCAAGTAAATTATTGTTAAACCTGCAAGGTAAAGTACCATGCCAAGTAAACTGTTACTTACAACTGCTTCTAAGCAAAACTTGCATCCAGGCTTTGCATTGAAAAAAAGGCACAAATAAATCACAATCACAGAGACACGGAAAAATCCAGGAGATTTTAGAGGAATGGTCAAGTGCATAATTTTTACTTGAAGCTGCCATGAATAAAAACTAACCAACGGCTAAACACGAAGTGATGTACTGATGCTAGGTCAGAAAATAAATAAATTTAAAAAACAAACAAAAAAATAAAAACAAACAGAAGAAACAAGTGAACAGAACAACAAAAAAAAAAACGAATTTGACAGCTTTATGAAAAGTCCACCAAATAAAACTTTTTATCTGCTTCTTCAAGAGGGTGGCCAGAGGACACATGCCAGGGCAGAAATAGAACTGCAGTCATCCACTCAGCCTCACAGCTCCCTCATTACCAGTTCCTCATTGCAGCCTCAGAGCTGGCAGTCACAGAGCCTTGGTAGAGCATATATGAATAAACTTCACAAAGGTGATCAACATTTCCAGCCTGCAAGGTATTCTTTTCATGGTCTCCATTCTTGCTTAGAAAATCTCCCACCCCAAATCTCAAGTGTGTCCTTGGGCACAGCTTTGGAGAAGAACTCAAGGAAGCCTTGCACTCCCTTCTCTGTCAGACTGCAATCCTACCACAGCTTCATCCAAAGCCCCCCATTACTGAACTCCAGTGGCTTGCTCTCTAGGCAGAGCCCTCCTAATCTGCTGCAGCTGAACTTCCTCAGCCTATCAAGTAGGAAATCCTTTTATTGCTCTGGCCTGTAAGCCTCTTATCTCCTAATTCTGTGAGGCTGAGAAATAGCTGTTCTGCTCATTAATCCTACAATGACTGTCAGAAGGGGATATATACCTTCTCACTCTACTCAAACACAAGTAACTAGGTTTCATCAAGTTCTTTACTATCTACTTAGCTGAGTCTCACTCCACAAGATTTCATAGGAAATGCCATAGAAGTACAGTAGCTTCTGCACTTTAAAAGTGTCCTGAATACTTCATGAAAGTTGTAAAAACTCTATTTCATTCTCCATACTGTAGATAACAGAAAATTGTTTAAAAAAAGAGCAAAAAGATATTTTTTCCTTTTTTTTTTTTAAAAAAGCAAGTGCAATTTTGGCTAAAAGTACTACTGCATGGATGATTATTAAGACTTTCCTCTACAGTTTGTATATACACCATTGGTATAAAAAGAGTTCTTTCTCAATCATTTATTACAAACTCGTGTCATCCATGACCTTCAAAGACAGCTCAAAGCAAAAGAAAAACAACCCAATTGAGACCTTGGATTAACTAATACCTTTAATGAGCGCCCTCAAGAAATGCTGAAGGTTGCTAGTTTTCCCCTATATAGGACACTCAGCCAAGGAGAAACTATTAAGCTAATTTTTTCATCAGGACTGATACCTTCTATTTCTCTGTATAAAGCAAAAACTGACTACAAACAGTTGCTGAATACCACTGCAAATATTACAGAGATGAGAAAGTTTTCATATAACATGTATTTAATATTTTAAATTTATGTACCCAACAGACAAAAACAGGTCTGTGTCATTCAAAAAACCTTCTATAAAGTTTTGTTGAGAAAAATGTTGAAGTGGCAAATAGCGTTAAGATCACAGATATCTCACGTCAGCTGTACCTTTTATTTTAACTATAAATGTCACACTTCATCATGCAGCTGTCAGCTTCCTTTAATGTACTAAATGCTATCATGTAAGCACAGAATCTGACATGATGTAACACAACAATTAAAATAAAAAGCAAGTCAGCTTTGACACAATGTCACTTTTCTGTATGCTGCAAATTAAAGGAAAATTGAAACTACACAAGTAAGCTAGTCAAGAAAAAAGTCTGAAAAAGCCTCAAACATCAGTTCATGTTTCTCTCTAACGTTATGTCCCGTTTTTATATTCAACTTCAAGAAAACATCCATAGCTTTAGCAGAGCTGATGACAAATTGACACCAAAAGGTGTCAGGAATAAAGCCTAAAACTTCTAGAATACCTTGATTATAACATTGCTCTAGCTGTCAGTTTCATAATAGCCAACATCCATGGAACTAAGCAATTATTTTTCAATTTCTATGCTACCCTTTTTCAATTTCTATCCACTCTGTGGAACTGCTCTGGCATGTTAAAATTGCTGATGCTTTTAAAACCAGATGCAACAGCACTTAAATTAAGCCTGAAGAAAATCCTAGTAATAATGGAGCAATTATAAACTCTAAGTAATTAATATTTGAATTGATTATGTATTAAAAATTTGGTTTTAATTTACTGTATTTAATGCACAACACTAAATACAAGTGTCTGGAATGTCGAAAAATGAATTTTGGAGAAAATGAGGAATATGTACATCTGGAAAGGCATAATGTTAATAACTAGATTTACTCCCTTTGAGTATTTTTTGCTCATTTACATCAACTTTAAACCTATATTTAATACATCAGCACCATAAAAAATTGTAGCCCAAGGGACAGATAGTGCTATCTGTCACAAATACAGAAATGTCACATGCCTAACATTTGCTCTGGCCATACCATGACACATTTAAAACCTGTGTGGCTCAGGGAAGAAATAATCACAATGGAGTCTGTTCGCAGGCAGGGAAAAGGGAGTCAAGCAAAAAAGTTAGAGACCCCTGCTGCAAATGGAAGGGCTGATATAGACATTCCAAGAATAGTCCTGTAAAAACATTCACTGAAACATCAAGTTAACACTTTACTCTTTGTGGAAGTAAGAGGAAAGGGAAACATGGAATTCTATAAAGTTTTACCCCTGAATACCATGTCAGAATTCTTATCTGCTGATCTATACCCTCCAAAAGATTTCCAGGCCAGTAACCTGCTAGAAAAACATTAAATTTAAGAATATTATAATTTTGACTGGAAAAGTTCTATATAGAAGTGCTGCTGCATTTTCCAATATGCTATATTTGATTGAGCATGACAGCAAACTGTAGAAAAACTAAGAAGAAAAAAAAAACCTGAAGTAAATGAAAAAAAATACCGTAAGACAATTAAAAATACATAAGTGAAGTAATACAAAAATAACCTCAAACCTGCCCTTACAGCTGTCTCTGAATAAAACAAATCCATGAGTAGAATTTGGACAGGGACAGAGTGGCTAGGAATCTGATCTTTAAAGACTACTCTTTAACCAAACACTGAAAATTATAATAGTGGCAACACTTTCACATTTCCAATCGCTGTGTTACACCTCAGTGACATTTATGCTGAAGTAGATAACTTTCTAAAAATAACTTTCTAAACGTATTTCTTGAAAACTGTACTCAGCTACTTAAAGACTCCAGTGATCACTACAAATGCACACCTTTAAATTATCTGTTCTAGTTTTACATTGGTTTTCCAGCCCTTGAACGGTTTAATTATTGCTAGATATTTATGTACACACTGAGAAGAGGGAAGGTAAAGCCCCTGTGGGCACGTACATGTGCAACCATGAAAGTTCATGCAATCATTGGTTCTGTCCAGTGCTATAAATTCTCCTGTACCAGCCTGTTGAAGGAATACATCCACAAGGATCTTTACGTTACAGGCATTAGTAGAAGGTCATGTAATTCATTTGCACGCCTAGGACTTCAACTGTGAAATCACAGGAGAATTAAAGTTTAGAAACAAAAGATCCAAAACTTTTTTCTACTTTTGGCTATTATTTCATTTAATAATATAAATAAAACAGTCAGAGAACTGAGACTTGAGCTCCATGTTGAAATGTGATAAAATTAAATGCTCTTCATACCTGCACTTCTTAGGTTAGGGTCTAGGTCTGGCATTTCCTTGGACGCTTCTGGACTGACACTGTAGATTGATGCTCCCGCTTCATTGGCAATGCTGAAAAATAAAATGGCAAATATGTAAAACAGCACACAACTGAGCAATACAAGTGAGCGACTTTGCAAGTGACTGAAGTGACTATTTAGACTTTTTTCAAAGCCTCAGGTTCTGAATAAACCAAATGCTTACAAAAGTAAGACAGTACAAAGGAAAATAGTTCAATTTCAGCTAAAACACTCCTCCCTGACCTGCAACATTCATTCTTTATCAATTCTGGCCTTGTAAATACACAAATGATCTCAGTCCCTGTCTCAATCTTTACAAGCGGAGAGAAAATGAATACAAGAAACAAGTGTTACCAGAAGTAAATAGGCAAGCCAGCTTCCATAAACAAAACTAAACCTACCTGACAATTTCATTAAAAACACATACATTCTAAAATCTAACATTCAAGTATCACTTGAATCCAAGCCATGAGTGTGCACACACACATTGCCTCAAGCCAGCTGCCCTAAAACACTCATAAAGCCCCAAAGTGATACAGACTGAGGCACAGAGCTGCAGCTCCCTTCTCAGCAGCATTCAATACCGTCTTCTCCCAGCTCTCACCGCCATCCCCAAAGAAAAACAGATTTCTTGTCTTCAGGAACTAAAACTACAGTTCGTGTATCTACCATACACCTCAAACTCATTCTGTAATGATGATAAACTCAGCAATTCAAATCAAACACATAATTAAAAGCACCTCAAGTGCTCTAGTTCCACTCCAGAGAAAACTGCAATCAAGTATTCACAAATTCTGACACCACTGAATCAACAGTATATTTCTTCAAATAACTTGAAGAGAACTGGAATTTCAGGTTGATAATTATGGCATCATATAGCTACTGCACTGGAGGTTAATACCATCAGTTTCAGAGCTATTTTTACTTTTACTATTCCACTTTTAAAATAACCTAATCTTTGCCATAAGGAGAGAAACCACAGACTTTAAGAAACAGACCTTTCAGCAAAAAACTATAACTTTACTTTATATTGTTTTAAAATTGGACTATAAATTTTCCTTTTAGGAACATTTATTAGGTCAAATTTTTAAATAAAGAAACTGATACCTAGAAGCCCCTCCCTTTAAAAAAAGCTGGAGAACAGCTCAGAGGTTAAATATATTCCCATTCAATGTTCCAAGCACAGTAACAGAAAATAGTGCAAAATGCAAACACAAAAGGTAAGAATTTTTTTTTTTTAGAGATTCCCCTCTTCCCCAGGCAAAACTGGAATTTGGTGGACTGCTGTTCACACAAGTCAGATTTTAAAGTTACCCCAAACTCTAAAGAACAGTAATACAAACAGACTGGAACTTTCAATAAATATAGAGAATAAAGTCCTGTTATCTTTAAAATTAATCTAACGCCAGACCCATTGAAACAGAGCAAAAAAAAACCCCTCAGATCAGGTGAACAGGGCAAGTGAAAATGAAACTATTAGATGATCTTTCAAAAAGATTCAATATTACGAGCACTCCTTCACTATAAATGACATTCATAAAACATTCCCATCACAGCGCTCAGAAACAAGATCGTATCACAAAAACCTAACTGCTGAACATAAAGATGTTGACAGAAGACTCATAAAACTGATTTCTCTGATGAACGAGTAATTTAAAGAACAATGCAGCAGAACGTATTTCTTAACCTGTTCACACCTTATAAAGGCAGCATCTGGCAAGTGCTCCCTTTCTGGATATTGCTTCCAAAAAACCACACATGAGCACACACTTCTAACAGCTTTTCACTAATCTCTCTTCAATCTTCGTATTCCAACAGATCCCAAACATTAGCCCACGTGCAATTTTTAAATCTAATACACTGATAATACTGAGTAATATAATTTTAGATTAAAAAAAAATCGGTGATTTGCAGTCATTTTTATAGTGCTGCACTATGAACTGTACTACTAAACACAGCCTATTGCTTGATCCTCTCCCGGTATCTTCTGCAGAGAAAAAACTGACGTGACCTTGATGGGAATTTTAACACACTCGACATTTTAATGCTTCTCATTAATACTACACTGATGATTTGCAGAAGCAGAAGGACTGCACTAATACTGCCATTGTATGGTAATATGTGACTTGTGCCAAATTTTAAGGTAGGCAGTACAAAAAACTCCTTGCTAAAATGAGTAAATAAAATTAAAACTCAGGGTAGGAGACAGACATTTGGAAAAAAGCTTATTTCCTCTCCTCAAGAGTAAAAACATTTATACGCTGGGGTGAGGAGAAGGGGGGAAGCCAAGTAAAAAATTATCTAAAGAAAGAGAACAAGATATAAAAAGCACCTTCAGAAGCAGCATTCACTGGATACTTGAGATCCACTCTGAGATGGTTTAGTATATGCATGCAGTTATTCTGTGAAGTATTTGGTGTAGCAGATGTGGAAAAGGGGAGCAAGAATTTCCACTCACGTAGAACCTCACACTGCTCTGCCCAAGACAGCAAAAGCCAGACATTAAATAAATCTTTTACCCAGATTAAACGCATAAAGCCACACACTCCAAAGAAGCCATCCTCTGGTTCATTCAACAACAGTCAATCAAACTTTTACAGAACTATTAGTGGCTATCACATGGTTTGATATGGCTACAGTGAGATGGTTACTAATGTGACAGTGGCACACAGAATACTGAAACATTTAGCTTGGTGAAAATACTAAGATTACAAGCTCCAGGGATTGTCAGCAGTTGTTCTGGATTTTACTTTCTGACTAGACAGGAGACAGTCACCTCGGCACACTGACATTTCATATGCTTTCCAGATTCTCATCATTCTCTTGAAAAGGAGGATGGCTTTATAGACAATTTAAGCTAATTTAACACTGCTAAATTCTCTACATCATGTCTTTTAAATAATGTATATATATCTTATGACGGGGCACATTAAAAGAAAAACAAACACGCTCAAATGAATAGGCAATAGAAATTTACTCTAAACTACTGTGGTCCACACTGTTCTTCAATCCCCTCTTCCCATTTCTACACTGGATATAATTCCCAAAAGAGTCAAAAAAAAAAAAAAACTTCATAAGAGCTGGTGAAATTGTATTTAAATCCTGTAAAACTTCAGAATTTATTTATATTTTGACTTTTTAAGTCACTTAATAGATGAAACCAAAAGAATTGGCCCCATAATGAGACCCTCATTATTGTGCGTTCCTTAAAAGGAAAGATTGGGAACAAATCTAAATAGTGAAAACAGCTTTGGCAAAAAATTATTTTGTTTTTTAATGTCAGTATGTAGTGGTTAAATAAGCACATGGTTATGATATGATACTATATACTTCTAAGACCTGAATTAACAAATTTCATAAACTTATTTGAATTAACAAAAAAGCAGGTTAAGGATCTGGGACTATGCCTCCGTACTGTGCTTCCCACATCAGCCACCCTACAGATAAGGGGTTTTTCCTCAGCATCGATATCCAATTTTTAAAAATTAATAGTGCCCGAACCACAAAGCTACTACACCACATTACAGTGTTTTCTTTTCAATTGTTCAAACTGGCTTGTTGCATATGAACTAAGTTTTCCTGAACTGGACCCATCTCGTTCACAGTTGTTAAGACACATTTTAAGTAGCTAAGGCAACATTAAATGTATTCCACCAGCACCACCTGGTGGGCCCTCAGCTTTTTGCTAGAGAGCATGCCACCTATATCCTAAATACTTCAAGAAGCCTTTTAACATTTACTAAAGCAAGTTGTTTTCTTACTCAGCTTAAATAAGCATTATCTATTTGATCTGAAAAGATTATTTGATTTTGAAAACATTCAGATTTTCCATCTCCGAATTTCCAAAGGAAAAAGAACCTAAAAGAACGTAAAAAAATAAAATCTAAGAAGACTTACAATTTACTCATTTTTAAGTTAAAAGCTATTACATAACTTCAAAAATGCATAAAGATTACATATAACCAGCTAGTTAACAACAGTGGTTTAACTAAATTACAATTTTTAAAACTTGCAAGTTTCTTAGGTAGTAAGTTTTCGCTGTAAACCCTTTCAAAGCTATGTAAAACATCTAATGTATGTATAACAAAGAAAAGATGTATCAGGCTAGACATTTGTGGGTTTAAAGATAAATGCACCTTCCTGTCATCTCCATGCACCTTACCAACATTTCAGACTTCTATATTACATTGAGGTAATTTCCCTACAATCAAATGCAACACTGTATTATTAACCTACAGAGAAACAAAAGGCAACTTTATCCAACTTCACATAACTTGCTATCCTTATAAAGTCCAAATCCATGATCTACAACTTCAATCCTTTAAAATAACATTTTAAGAAACAACACCAGTACAATGAAGAGTCTGGTGTTTACTACTTGGAAGAAAATCCTGGTCACTCTAAAAGCAAAGGGGATGTCAACCTCAAAATGAGCCAAGATTTTCATATTTGGCCATAAAATTATGATCTGCCAGAAAAACTCCCTTCACAATCATAATTTAGTAATTGTGGCTAATTCCTCTAACTCAACTTTTTACATATTTATTGATAAATATATTGTTCATAAACTTCTGCCCACAGAAGCCAGAGGCTCCCATGAAGTACAACAGTAAAAAAAGACTCAAAGGTTTATTCAGTGTTAGTTACAAGAATAACTGGGTTATGAATCACCCAAGACAGAAAAAAAAAAAAAGAAAATGAATGAAACACAAAAAACTCAAAATAAAATGAAATAAAATGACAAAATACTCTCTAAAAAGAACGCTGCATTTAGGGACTCAGTTGGAATGTATCAAGCTTGAATTATGTGGACAGATGTTATGATTAAAACCAACTAAGAAGGGGCAGGGAAGACTTAATTAAGCACATACTCAAAAGAAGATTGGGCTACTTCATAAATGAGAAACCCATTGGGCCTTACTGAAAACACACAAGTCATAACTAGTTCCTGAAGAGTCTAACACCCAAAAGGGTTGAGAGTTACACTATGGAAATAGGATGCCTGCACCTGCTGTTATATGTCTCCCTGCACACCCATTTTTGATGACAACC